CGACTAATTTGGCCAACTGGGATAGTATGCTTAGGGACTTAATAAGCCCAGATTGACTTTGGAAATTATTCTAAATAACATGACCATGTCTGCTCACCGAAATCGATCTGACGATACGACCAAGTTGAGAAAATAAGGTCAAACGATTTCTTGTTACGCTTGGTGTAAGCCTACTCTCATGCCTACGTGGATATTTTTGCTGTATTAATGTTTTTTTCTACTTTAGTTGGAATGCATCAAAGGCTCCTGGAACTTTCTTTTATAGGGGCTAACGTTTCTGTTTAGATCTTATGGAAGCATGCATGTTTATCCCGAACCCCTCCTTACTTAACTATATTGCTTGGGTCGACACCCCTTTATATACCTACCCATTCATACTCTTACTTGATTACTTGTTATTGCTTGCTACAATCCACTCTCTCTAACCTAATATATTAAATGACCTACTTCAACGGAATTAGCTTGTCGGCAGTCTCACGGATCAACACGAGACCATGTTCACCGCAAGCCCTAATGGCCTAACTGCCCTCCATTTCGCTGTTCTATTGCCCGGCCATAAGGGTGTCCAGATCGTTCAGCTTCTGTTGAATGCACTGGCTGATCCGAATGCTCGGGCCGGACCGGACACAAGCTTTCAAATGGCAGGTTACATACAGAATGAAAGAGATCCAGAAGTAAGTGTAAAAATGCATTTTAAAGATGGTCATTTATTCAGGAATCTTTTGGGAGCCAGAATTATTGAGGAAATATATATATACTATAATTAGATCTTGAATAATTACTCGAGCCACTTTATGACGAATGGTGTTGTATAGACAAATCATGGAAATCCCAAGACTAAATTAATAGATCTCACGAGGTAAATTAATTTCTAATAGCTTTGAATCTTAGAAAACTTTTCCATGGTGAATATAATGCAATTTCGACATACTCATTGACTCATTGCCAATTCCGAAGAGATTTAGAATTAAGTCATGCGAGTTAAGTGGTAATGCACCACGTTGTTGAGGAGACTTCCATTTCGTATGAAAGTGC